CTCAGAGATCTGCCACAGCTGCCTCCATCATCTCGACATCCTCCATCATCACCGCTACAGCTGGTGTTTGGATCATGAAGCTCTCCGGTTCTGTGGTGCTTCATGTCTGAGTGAGTCTGCAGACGACGAGGAGCCTCATTTAGCCACGTTTTTACAAAGTCAGACAAGCACATCTGGTTGGACGTAACCATCAGAAGTCACCTGGGGTCCCTCTGGTTCCTCAGGGGTCGCTGCTGCAGGCGGTACCCAGGGCTGAGGCGCCATCTGTGGGGCCGGAGTCCTGGAGGTCCTGGAGGTCCTGGAGGTCCTGCAGGTCCTGGAGGTCCTGGGTATCTGGAGGTACAGGTCCAGCATGACTGTCCTCCTGCTGCTCTGCTGCTCCTCTTTATCTGCAGAAACGACAGAAATGTAGAAGGAAAGATGCAGAACAACTACAAATAGACAAAATGGCGCCCGCTTACGTCTTTATTTTCATACCTTCAGACTGGTTCTTCGGTGGTTCGGTGTTCCTCTCTGGACCCGGCCGCTGCTGTTTGCTGTTCAGGGTTCTGGAAGCTGCAGGAAGGTTCAGAGGAGGAAGGACCAGAGGCCTGGAGGACACGAACTGCAGCAGGAGAAACCTAAAAAACTCAGACGAAGAAGAAAACCTGCAGCAGGTCAGAGAGCTTCAAGTCCCTCCACCCACCTGGCTGCTGCTGTAGCTCAAGATGGCCGCCGTTAGGTCTCTGAGCGTGCTCAGTTGCTGCTCCATCTGCCGACGGTGTCTCCGAGCTGCTCGCCGCCTCCTCGGTCTGTTTTCTAAGTGACGGCTGGTTTCCATGGAAACCAAATGCTGCAGACAGAAGAAGGACTTTAAAAGCTGAAGCAGGTTTCAGTCAAAGACCTGGTCTGGTGGTGACCAGAACCCTGACTGGAGGTTTGTCAGGCTGGGCTATACGCTGTCATTAGGTTGTGTAGTTGTTGTTCCAAGTCAGGCAACATGTTGCTTGAAAGAGATTTTATTCTTGCAGCACGATCCACAAGATGACACATCATTCTGTTTAAGTTTCAGGAGGTTTGGACTAAAGTTTACCTGATTACACCTGGATGTGTGTAGACTGTGTGTAGACTGTGTGTAGACTGTGTGTGGTCTCATGTCTGTGGTCAGTAAAGGACACTATATCACGTTGCATCATAACACCTTATAATATAGTACCATTCATCCATCCATCCATCATCTCTACACCTTCATCCTCACCAGGGTCATGGGGGACGGAGTCTATCCCAGCTGACTCAGGGTGAAGGCAGGTTCACCTGGACAGGTAACCAGTCTATCACAGGGCTACACTTAGAGACAGACAACCAAGCACACTCACATTCACACCTACGGACAATTTACAATCACCAGTTAACCTCAGCATGTTTGTGGACTGTGGGAGGAAGCCGGAGAACCCGGAGAGAACCCACGCTGCACGGGGAGAACATGGAGACTCCATGCAGGAAGATCCCGGGTGTCCTCACCGGGACGTGAACCGGCGACCTTCTAGCTGTGAGGTGACGGTGCTAACCACTGATCCACCTGCAGCCTCATATAGTATCATATAATAGCATGTTGTATCATGTGGTACCTGATCAGGTCATTTTTTTTCTTAATATACCTGTGAGTACTATGGATGGTAGTATTTATATACCTACGAGTACTTCATATAGTAGTATTTCTCTACCTGTGAGTACAGCAGTAGTATTTCTCTACCTGTGAGTACTAGTATTGTAGTACCAGTACCTGTGAGTACAGCAGCAGCGGGCCTCTTCGGGTGCTGTACGTCTTTGGAAGCGTCGGCTCAGTTTCCAGCAGCAGACGGTCGGACAGACGCAGCAGAGAGTCCTGGGACCTCCACATGTAGTAATCCTGTCGTATTGATCACGTATCGATCACATATTGATGATGGATTGATTGACAGATGGAGAGGAGGACTAGGTAGTTTACCTCGGGGGTGAAGCAGACGTCCAGACGTCCATCGTGTCTCCCAGAGCTGGACGAGACCAGACGGCCACGACCTCGACTGAGCCGGGACAGAGGCAGGTCCTGCATGGACGAGGTCAACCTGGAGACGTTGTGCTAGATATAAAAACAATACAAACACTGACATTAAACAGGTCCTGCATGGAGGAGGTCAACCTGGAGGCCTGGAAACATTTTATTAGATATAAAATATTACAAACACAGACATGAAACAGGTCCTGACAGGATTCACAACAGAAAAACTAAATAAATACGACAAAGAAACGATGAAAATCTGACGCCACAAATAAAGATGTTGACAAAAATGTGACGCTGCAGCTTTAAAAACTGTAAAAATGTGAAAAAAGACGAAATATCTGTAAAATAATGATTTTTTTAGTTGATTTAAATACAATCAAATGTGTAAATTAATAAATAATTCTGTGATTTTTTTACAAGATGTTACATGTTATTTATGAAAACAGGAAAAATCTGTAAACCACCAGTTAAAAAATAATTATTTACTGTTTTCCAGGTCTAATATTTATGATTTTTCTCTCAAATAACAGCAAGCATCCATAAAACATGTAATATGATATTTATTATATATTTATTTTATATTTATATGCAGTAAAAAAATATAATTTTAAGGTCCAAACATTTTGTAATTATAGATAATATCTAGAAAAATCACCAAAAATCAAAAATCTGCATTCTTAGAAATAATAATTTGTTCTTGTACAATATTTCAGCATTAAACTACAGTTTTATTGTATTTTAATCAGCTGAACCAACACCATTATTCTACATATGTATTTTAATTAATACCTTTTTTTTGACACATCTGCTGCTTTTTTATTTTTACAGATTTTTTAAAACATTTTTTTACATTGCAGAGAAGAAACTAAAGAACAGATTTAAAGAACAGGAAACTAAAGAACAGATTTAAAGAACAGGAAACTAAAGAACAGATCACAGCCTGAAGATCCTCCTGATGAAGAACAAACTGATGGAAGTTCATGATCATTCAGACTTTTAGTGCCTCAGACTCTGTAAGAAGTCTGACTTTGTTGGAGGATTTATGAAGCGTTTAAAGACAGAACAGAACAAACCTGCCGTGTGTGTTCGGTCTCTCGTTGCCGGTTTGTCCAGAGTCTGTTGCGTTGCCGTGGTTGCAGCAACACAACAGACTTTAACTGTTCAGCCTGACACACACACACGTGACCGACGCTGTGCGTGTGCTGGTTTAACTGGAATCAACAAGAAGCACGACATTAGTCACACAGCAGGAGTCACTTTACTGTTAACATTTAGTTTACATTTATTATCATCTCTGAGCTAAACAACAACAACAACAACAACAACAACAACAAACAACAACAACAAACAACAAACAGTGTCTTTAGTCTGTCCTGCATGGACTCATTTTACAGAGTAAATAAAACATTTAGAAAACTTTAATAAAAGGTGATAAAGTTCTATTTGGAGAAGCTTTTTTTTTAGACTTTCTATCAATATTTTTTAGTGTTTGTGGTTCAACTGATCAAATCTGATCAATCAGTTCATAAAAGTTTAACTAAAACAATTTTCTTTTCATCATCGTGATCAAATATTTATGATTCAAATGTTTAACTGTGGCCTGCAGCTACATTTGGTTCAGAAAATACCACGAGTTGACCTTTTTTGATTGCTAAAATAATTTATTATTATTATTATTATCTGCAGCTACATTTGGTTCAGAAAATACCACGAGTTGACCTTTTTTGATTGCTAAAATAATTAATTATTATCATCATCATTACTACTACTCTACATTTAACCATGAAATGACTTTATTTTAATTTACTGAGCTCAAATCTGCCCTAAATGTCATTTATATGTATGTACAATATGTGAGCTTTTATTTATATGAATTCAGGTCTTATTTTTCTACTTTGAAGCTCTTTTACTGCATTAAATAAACTGACGACTTTATTTTTATTTGTGATGACTTTTTGTGTTTTTGCATCTTCATTTTTTCTTATTCTCGTTTCACCTGCTTCGTTTGGCCTCGCCGCTACTGCTGTCAAAGCACTCTGTGTTTCATTTGCTCCTTTATTTCTTGTAATTATTCAATTTAGTTCATCCATTTATTCTATTTAATAATTTTGTGTTCAGAAGTAGCAGCACACAGAAACCACACAGTCAACGAAACACTCAGTTAACACGCTTTATTTCAGTCAGAATATTCCTCCTGGGTGTGTTTTATGCTCGTTAACCTCAAAGCCAACATGGAATCTAAATTATGAAATATATATCTCACACGTCTTCATATGAAGAAGAAGCAGAACTACAGACATGTGGACGTAAAAGCTCAATAGTGACGTAGAATCAGTCTTAAAATGAATATAAAGCACAAATCGTTGTCAGGTTTCTGGTGCTTCGTGGACTGAAGTGATTTACCTGAGTGGAGTTAGAGGACGACGGCGCCTCCTGCTGGAGACTCACCCATCTTTCACACTAGAGCTTACTGCAGCATCACCACACATTTTGCTTTCTAATAATACAAACAGCTGCATTACAAACACACAGACATCTTTGTTTTAGATGTAAAGCTGGAACTGTTGCACAGGATCTCATGTTTTCTCTGGCAGCCACATTCAGAAAGTAAAAAGCTAAAAAAAACCTGCAGGTTCTGAAGCAGGATGATGGATTTAAGAGACTTTCTGAACCTTCAGTGGTAGAAAAAAGTCAAACTGGCATAAATGTGCAACAAAATTTGAATTTCTATTTGATTTTAAAATCAGACAAACGGGATGAACTGAGCATGTTGCCTGTAATGTAACGTGGATGTTGGTGGATGCAATGAAGGAAAAGAACAGCGTGACTGGATGCTTTGTGTACACTGGACCTGCAGGCTCTGATGATACTGAGACACTTTCTGAACCTTACAGGAGCAGAAAAAAGCAAAGTGTTGGACAAACTAAACACATTTCCTGCTGATGTTCACAATATTAAAGAAGAGAAAGGTGTGGTTCCTCTACAGGACGTTGGCCTCGCTGGAGTCCGGCTGCAGGATCTGAAGCGTGACGATGAAGCGGAGGCACTTCCTGAACCAGGGGTAGAAGAAGGCGTAGATGATGGGGTTGAGGCAGGAGTTGAAGTAGAACAGGCAGGTGACGAAGGCGACGGACGACGGGTTGAGCAGCGCGTCCTGCCCGGTCAGCGTCACGCAGAAGTACGGGCAGAGGCAGATGAGGAACACCACCACCACCACGCCCAGAGTTCTGGCCGCCTTCATCTCCGACTTCTTCACCATCACCGTCACCGAGCCGCGCACGGTGACGGAGGCGATGTGGGACCTCATGGCTCGGGCCTGAGACGCCGCCACCACGAACACCCGCAGGTACAGCAGCACGATGACGGCGACGGGCCCGATGAAGGACAGCAGGATGTCGGCGAGGCCCGCGATGTAGTCGATGGCAACCACGCACTCCCCAGAGCAGGAGGTGAACCGGCCCGGATGCACCAGGTTCCCCCACAGCAGCAGCGTCTGCAGCACCACAGAGAAGATCCAGCACACCGACACCGACAGCTGCACCTTCCTCTGGGTGACCTTGGTCTGGTAGCGCAGGGGGTCGCAGATGGCCATGTAGCGGTCCACGGAGATCATCACCATGGTGCCGATGGAGGCGGACGTGACGATGTAGGCCAGGTACTGGTACAGCGTGCACATGACGTCACCCAGGTACCAGCAGCCGTCAATGAGCAGCATCTGGAAACACGTGAAGATGCCCACGAAGAAGTCGGAGACGGCCAGAGAGAGCAGCAGGAGGTTGGTGGGAGTGTGGAGCTGCCTGCAGGGGGGGGACACGGGGTTACAGAGCAGCAGTAAGAGGCAGCGGCAGCAGGGCAACTTGCAGCTTCAGGTCAACCTGCAGCAGAACCAGGTCAACCTGCAGCAGAACCAGGTCAACCTGCAGCAGCATCAGGTCAACCTGCAGCAGCATCAGTTAAATCTGCATCATCAGGTCCACCTGCAGCATCAGGTCAACCTGCAGCAGAACCAGGTCAACCTGCAGAACCAGGTCAACCTGCAGCGGCATCAGGTCAGCCTGCAGCAGAACCAGGTCAACCTGCAGCAGAACCAGGTCAACCTGCAGCAGCATCAGTTAAATCTGCATCGATTAAACCTTCAGAAACATCATTTAAACCTGCAGAAACACAAGTTAAATTTGCAGCAGAATCAGTTAAATGTGCATCAATTAAACCATTAAACCGGCAGCAGCATCAGATGAACCTGCAGCAAAATCAGTTAAACCTGCAGAAACTTGAGTTAAACCTGCAGCAGCGTCCAGTTCGACCTGGGGAAACATCAAGTAAACCTGCTGCAAAATGAGTTAAACCTGCAGACATGTCATTTACATCTGCAGCAGCATCCCTTAAATTTGCAGCAGCACGAGTTCAACATGCAGCAGAATCATGTAAAACTGCAGCAGCATCAGCTGTGTTAGTCAAAGTTGCAGCATTATCAGTTAAACCTGCAGCAGAATCAGACAAACCTGCAGCAAAATTAACTGAACCTGCATGAAAACAAGTTAAATTTGCAGCAGAACAATGTAAATCTGTGCTACAATCAGTTAAATCTGCATCACTGTTACCGTCAGAAGCTGTTAAACCTGCAGCAGCATCAGTTCAATTTGCAGCATTATCAGTTAAACCTGCAGCAGGATCGTGTAAAGCTGTGTCAGAATCACTTAAATCTGCATCAATTCAACCGTCAGAAACTGTTAAACCAGCAGAAACGTTAGTTAAACCTGCAGCATTATCACTTCAGCCTGCAGCAGCATTCAGTTCGTCCTGAGGAAACATCATGTAAACCTGCAGCAGCACGAGTTGCATGAGTTCAATTTGCAGTAAAATCAGTAGAATCTGCAGCAGCGTACTTGAAGTGTGAGATGGAGATGATGACCAGCAGGTTGAGGGTGGTGGTGAGCACCGTGATGAAGGACAGCACCACGTACGTCACCACCAGCTGCACATGAGGACGCTTGGGCTTCTTGCAGGAGGAGTTGAGCAGCTGAGGGAAGCAGAGCTCGGCCTCCTCCAGAACCTCCATGGTCTCAGACAGAGGAGGCGGCTCCGGGCGGCTCCTTTATACGTGGACGCCGCTCTGCTGCCGGACGCCTCCAGCACACCTCCGACATCCCAACACCTGCAGGGGGAGGGTCCATCAGGGGAGCAGCCCGGTGTTGGGATGGAAACCAGACAGAAACACAAAACAATCAAAAGTGATGAAACAAATTCAGCAGTTTAACGGATCACTGCCTGACTGATGGATGCACTGAGATCAGCATCAACAATCAACGAGAAGACAAGATGAGACAGAACGAGAGACGAGACAAGAAGAGATAGGATGTGATACACTGAGACAAGATGAGATGAAATAAGACAAGACAAAAAGAGACAGAATGAGATAATACCAGATGAGATAAGAGGACATTAGATGTGATATCGTGAGACAAGATAAAACAAGGAATGACGAGATGAGACAACATAGAGATAAGACGAGATAATACAAGATGTCAGGATGTGATACAGTAAGATACGATAAGATGAGACGAGATAAAACAAGCAAAGACGAGATGAGATGACATAAGATGAGATAAGACAAGATGAGATACGATGATACAGTGAGACAAGATGAGATAAAATGAGACGAGGTACAGCAAGAAATGATGAGATGAGAAAACAGGATGTGATAAGATGAGAAAGGATGTGACACAATAAGACAAGATGAGACGAGACAACACAAAACAAGATACGATGAGACAAGACAAGACAAGAAGAGATAAAGCAAGAAATGGTGAGATGAGACGACAAAAAATAAGATGAGAAGAAACAAGATAAGGTGACATCAGACAAAACCAGAGAGATAAGATGTGACACAGTGAGACAAGATCAGATGAGATGAAATGAGACAAGATTAAAAAAAAGAAATGACGAAATAAGATAAGACAAGATAAGACGAGACAAGACAAAATGAGGTAAAACAAGAAATGACGAGCTGAGACAACATAAAACCAGATGAGACGACACGAGGTGAGATGAGATCAGATAAGATCAAATAAACAAGATAAAACAAGAAAAGATCAGATGACATAAGATTAGATTTGACACAACGAGATACGATGAGG